AATTGGCAATTATCAAATATTGTGGCAATAAATAATTATCTAGTACGCAGTATTTTTAAATTATAAAAATACACTTGATTTTTCTCAAATAACGGATTATGGCTAAACGATAACGAACGGCCCTTTGGGATGCTTTTTAATTAGACAGAGACAAATGTCCACCTTGCCCCCCCCCTTAAATAACGCCACTGATTGCGGTAGATGAGCTATAAGCAATTTATATTATTAATGTTAAGAAAATTAAAATATTCTATACATTTATTCTATTTTTATAATTAGTAAACTAGTTATAAATAGTTCTTTATGGTTTATCCTGTAGAAAAAAATACAAATATATGTAAAAAGAAAAAGTTTAAAATAAGTTCTTACGGTTTTTAGCTTATAAATATAATAGACTCCTTAACTGAATCGTTTTAATCTTGAATACATAGTCGAATCCCTTGAACAACGTAGAGCCATTGTTCGAACACGGAACAAGTGCGATATCTTTATGGATACTCTCCCCTCCCGCGGTTCCGCTCATGTGCCTCGGCCGTAAGCTTTGCTGTTGGCCTCCGAGCCTTTTGTCTTTTTCGAGCGGTGTAACCGAACGCAACGTACGTGCTCCGGTTCTCCGCGTCCGGATACTTGTGGCGATTTTGGCTATTCCTGGATCCACGGAGGATATTCATGAAATTTTCCGGCGAGACCTCCATATTGGTGAACCCCGGTAACATATCAGAGCCGTGCAGTCGCAACCAAGTCATCATTTTTATTATTTAGCCCCACGTGGTTAGTGGGCCGATCAAAGCTGGTTTCATTCTTGTATATTGTATGTTATTGGTATTATTTGGATCTTATGATTAAGTTTTATTTGGGTACCCACTAGTTTATTATTTATTATAGAAATATACGTGTTTCCGACCAAAAGAGTTAAGTGGTTAACCCTCCTGCACTCCCGTCCACAACCCAAAAAAACGCAAGTCGTAGCCGACAACCGCCGTATTTGTAGGATCGGTAGCGGCGCAATCAGCCATATTTGATTTATATTTAATTTACAAATTACTAAGTTGCAAGATTAATGGTTTTGCTTTTTATATATTCTTTATATGGACTAATTTTCCAAATTAGGGAACTAAGTAACACAAGATTAAATAACTTATTTTATTAATTGAAAACCCTAAATACAAATTATACTTACCAACAATCCATAATCTATAATTAGTAGATACATTTTAAATATCTATAAAATTGATCTTTTTTATTCTACTACTTTAATTTTTTTAAAAATCATGCCTCTATATATTTAATTTAACAAATTAATTTATATAACTTTGTATTATATTTTATATTGTTTCATATAAATTCTATTTTTACCTAATGTAAGTTATATACTTATATGTTACTATGTTAGTATATATAATCACAAATATTTTTATTACTAAGAATATATTTGTCATAAGCATATTGTAAAATCAAATAAAGTTAAATGCCTAGTCATTTAATTAAATGATTAGGAATATGATTAAATGCCTATTTCATGTCAGGCAAATAATAACACTTTGTATAATTTAAATATATTTTCTATCAAATATGTATTGCTATTTTATACTTAAAAAAAAGCAATGTATTATTAATATGTAAGACACGTTGGTATATGAAATAATATGTTTAATTTCATGTTCATTATTAGTATTGTTTTAAAAATGAAATCATAAATGTATACAGGTAATAACTAATTAGATGTAATAGAAATATATGATAGTACGAGTACATTGTACACCCTATAGTCATTATGATTTGACCATATGCCCACATATACATGATGACAATGATGCGTGTAATTGGATCCAAACTCGTTACATTTTCAAGCAAATAAACAAATATTACACCATTTATCTGTCCTGAATTAACTCATAGTAAATAAAAATATTCAGCACTAATATTTTTCTCAATGGGTTTTCAAAGTATCAGTAAGTAGCTGTTGAAATCAAGCAATACATTTTAAAATTCTAAAGTGGTGACAAAATCATTATTAATTTTGAAAATATTTAATTATTTTTGGTGGCTTTTTGTCGATTTAAAATTAGATTATCGAATTCATAGACATTTAAAAGAATGTAAAGAATGCAGATTTTATATAATAATAATAATAATTCTTTATTGTGGAATAAAATTCCAATTACAAATATTTTAACATAATATAGTGAGTGTAAAGTTGTAAGTATGAATACATTTCAAAACAAAACAATTTAAGAATATATAGATAAATATAATCTATTTAGGTAAGTATTTAGTTATGATATAAATAATAATATTAATAATAATAATAATAAGTAATGATAAATAAAGAATGGATAAGTAATTGTATTTCATGGCTAATTGATCATGGTGATTATTTTATATTATAAGGAAATAATGAAAAGTAAAATAAATATCAAATAAAAAGAAAGACAAGAATGATTTAATGAAACAAAAGTTAAACAAAAGCTAAATTAGAATTTCTTGCAGGACAATGTAAAATATATTTAGGATTTGTATTTACCAAATAAAATGTGTCTTTCATTCTAGAGTTTATTGGGTTTATTTTAAAATTTAATTGATAAAGAAGCTCAGGACAATCAATCATATTATATGTCTATGATCGTATCAATATGGACGTTAGGTTAGTAGTATTGTAAGATAGTTTTTTGTCGGATTATGCCTATAATTTGTCGTTATAGCATGGCTTTTTGAGGTGTTACCTATTTAATCAATGATATCATTAATAAATTTGCCAACGCCAATGCCGAAAACAAAATCTAAGCTAGATATGTTAGTGCTCATTAATTTTATTTATTATATAAAATTAAATATTTATGCATTTAAGAACAATTAGTATTTACGAGTAAATAATAATTGATATGGTACATAATATGCAGAGTTAAAAAATATTTTAATTATAAAAAGTGCATGTTGAAATTGTAAGAAATTCAATTTTTTTCAGTGCCTAAGGCCAACGAATAGCTTAGTTCAGCCCTGGTGTGAGATTAAAAAACTAGAGCAATGTCTAATATGTTAGGTTGTCTACCAGTTCTGTGGAAGGTGGTGTTATATTATAATTTTTAATTAAAAAGTGAAATGACATAATTTATAACCATTTAAGTTTGTTTTTAAGCAACCCCAAATTTCATTTTTGGAGTATAAATCTCCTAAAAGTATGGTTGGATTATTTTAGAAGAGTTTGAATATATCATCTCTTAGGATTTTTTTGTTTGACGGACATTATTTTAATTTCAAATTTATCTGTAGAAATCATGACGAAAGTAACTTCAATGTTCATCATTTTGGGGGTGATTATTTAGTAATGTTTGATATTTCTTTTTACTAAGATGGCTACGCCTCTACATGAATGGATTGTGTTTCTATCCTTTCTGTATATATTATAAACATTAATTTTGAATGTTTGTGTTTTTGAGATGAGTTTCTGTTATGCATGATAAGTCTACCTTATGACAAAATAGAAATTCAATAAGTGAAGATTTTTTGAATTTAATGTCATTGCATTCTAGTTAACTAGTTTGATTTATTTTAGACTAATGGATATCATTTAAACCAGAAAAAGATAGAATATTTGAAATAGAGTTGAAGATGAAGCTAATGATGGACTGTATATTATGTAAAATTTACCACTGTCCTAAATTAAATTAACTTCTATTAATACAAACACACTAGTGATAACTATATTACAATATAAACATTGTTATTATAATTATTATGCTATTGTATGGTATTATCCTATTATTATTTCTATTGCTGTCCTAGTATATCATCTACAAATATTGTTTTTAGCATGTTAAAACTATGCATATATAATTTTTTACCAATAATGATTAAAGAAAAATGTCATACTAACTATAATTTATTTGTAAAAACTGATTCGTGTGGGATTGAACCACTATGGTTACATTTGTGATTATGGGTATGATGATTATTAGTAAAAGCTCATATGAGTTTAATTTTTTTTTATTATTATTAAATAGTTATTAAATAAAATCACATACATTTTAATGGTGCTAACCCTAAAATTTTCATTCCTGAACTTAATATATTTCTAGCTCTGTGAAACAACAAAATCCTTTGCTGAGCTACCACATAGCTGGAATTTTTAACATTTAGAACTTTTATTGCCTTATTAATACAATTACATAATCTAAATAAATAATTAACTAGAATACATGCTTCTAACTCTTGACTAGTTTCAGTTAATATATCTTCAAATCTGAAAAAATAAAATTTCATATAAAATACACTTTTTGTTAAATAAAATTAATAAAATAAATATATCAACTAAATTCCTAATAGATTTTAACATTATCAAAAAATAACAAACTAATGTTTTTGTTAAAATAATACTTTATTTTTATCTATATTCCATATATATTTGAAGAAAAGATTATAATTCAAAAATTATTAAATTCAAATTAAAATGTGCAATGTTAGCAGTCAAATATACTTGCACTAATTATGTAATCATTTACAATTTCCTCTGTAATTAACAACAAATTTTATTTAATGGAATATTTTTTTTCCTAGTTTTGAATGAAGGGTCATAACAGGTGATTATAACTTGGTTTTGAAACCTGAGATCTCAAGTAAAAATTTGAAATATAATATGAACCGAAAATAGACAAATATGTGAATCCAGTTTTTACCTGAAACGCAAATCTGAAGAAAAATTAAACCCAGTTTTAACTCAAAATCCAGGGTTCAAATTAATATTGAAATTTTTTGTAACTTAAAATGTTGAACTATGAACTAATTCGATACAAATAAATTAATTTCTATCCATTAATGCGGACAATGTTGGTAAGAAGTAATACTTAAAAAATGGTCAAATAGCAAATTAATCATTAAATAAACTATGCAGAAATATTTCGTCAACAATTCTAGAAAGTATTGTGTAAATAAAATGTAATACATGAATTAACATTTTAATATTACACTGTTTTAACTTAATTTTTCTTAGGTAAATTATATTTTATAGTATACATTATTATTGTTTATGTTTCATTTGTATCTATGTGTTTTCTGGTGCTTAAATGTTTTTATAATTATTTGAATAATGCACACATAATTCTATTCACCAAAATATTTTTAAAATAATGGACCTAGTAATGTGTATGCCCCAAATGAATCATTTTAGTTGTATTTGGTATTTTTCAATAATTAATTATATGAAATTAAATTTTAGGTAACCTTCTAGTCTTAGCAGTACAATTTGGTTTATCATAATATCAACTAAAAATCAATATGAATTGATTTCTTAACTTTCTAGTAGTATTTTATAGTTTTTATTAACATAATGACTACTTAATACTCATTAAAAATTTTATCATTTAATGTCACTCCAATAAAGAATAGATAGTTTATATTCATTAAAATAGTCTTGTTTAAAGAGCTATATCTAGTTAAATTTTTAAAAATAAAGTTAAAAATAAATAATTAAATTATCATGTAATACTTATCTAATTAAATTAGTTTTATACAAACTTTTTCCTTCCATTTTCTACAAAAGATATATTTCTGAGGCTCCAGAGAAAACTTAAAACCATTCCTGTCTAACAACATTGTGGTGTACCTTACCAAGAGAATGAGAAAAAATAATAACCAATTAACCTGTTAACCAAAATCAAGAAAACATAAAACCCGGTAACTGTGAAAATTCAACCTACTTTTACTCACTGGTTTTAAATATAAAGAAATGATTAAATTAATATACATTTTTAAAATCATAAAGCAATGAAATATGTTAAAAACATACAATATAAATTGAACAGACATTTTTTATAATTTAAAATGTAATTTATAAACTATATAGGGATAAAAGACAAAACTTTTTTTATTCTTTAGGTGGTTCATAAAATATTTGACTAATGAATAACAATTACATTTGGAGTATTATAGTTGAACTGTCTGATTTGGTGGCTTATTTTAAAATAGTAACTTATATTAAAGTATATTAAGTTAAATACTAATTTGTTATCATTGAAAATAACTTACCGACACATTTCCAAAATTAAATCAACTGCAACAGTTTCTGTTAAGTAATCTGCATTAACTTCATTTGGTAAGGTTATACTGGAATTAATTTCCTCTAAACTCACTAAACGACAATGTGTATATTGCAGTTTTATGCCAGTATCTCCATTAACCTTACATGACAAATAGTTATTTATTTTAAAGTTATTTATCTAAAAATGTAAAATAATTTAATTATTTTACAACTGGTTTTAGCTGCTTGGAATCTACCTAGTTCACCAATATTAGTTGGATAGATTACAAAAAAAAAAAAATGTGTCAGGTGTGTTCAGTAGTGTATTTTCAGGGAATTTCCAGGTCTCAACCCCCTCCCTGGAAAAAATTGTATATTTATATATATATACCCAATATTGTATATGAAATTATAAACTTTTGTCACTTCCATAGTTCCATTAAGTGGCTATTTTTATAAAATGAACAATTTCACTACGTGGATGAATCATGATATATACTCTATATATTAATATTAATATTTTATATTTTATTTATTTGCACTCTTTAGGTTAGTGTTGAGAGATCATTTTTTGGCTTAAAATAAATACTAAGCAATTTAAGAACTAGTCAAGATGAAATAATATTACAAGATATAATTGTTATCCCTGGAAACAACAAAAAATTAGTTAATAAATAAATACATTTCTCAAAGTTAGATTATATTTTAATTCATATGTATACATTTTTTTTAAAATTATTTTTATTATGATTATTGTATACGAGTTATTGTGTTGTTTTATTTTTTATTTTGTAGTATATTATATATTATTAAACAATATTATGACAAAAAAATTAAAACTTAAAAATGTGTATAAAAGTATATGAACTTATTTTATGAATGTCTAACAAAAGTTGATTTTTCTAATTAATTATTTCATAATTATGACAACAAATTGTCTGAGGTGTAAAGTTGTTATAAAAGAAGATATATTTTTAAAAGAATAAAATTAAACGGTTTTATAAATTTGAAAACCAATTTTCAAAAGTTATATATATGAGATTAATATTAACGAGTTTTTAAAACGGAAAAAAATAGTAGACAAATTAAAACCATTAACTACAACAAATCATTAAAGTTTGAAGCCCTGATTTTAAACCACCTTCCACAAAAAATTTGAAAGCTAAATGGGTTAGTTCTTCACTCCAAACTTCTTACAAATTACTCTATAGAAGTGCCTTGTATTTAAGCTAAATCCATTTTTTTTTGTCTTTAATCTCATACTATAAATATTTTTAGCATTATACTTAAAATAAAATATTAAAAATATTAAATAATGATTCAATAAATCAATAAATTAAGAAAATGAAATATACTTGTAATGCTGACTCCCAAGAAAAATTATAATCCTTTTTGCGTCTTTGTTTTAAATCATTAATAATAATTGCAGATATTCCTAATACATCTGCTATTTCATTATTATCCAATGCATTATCTTTGGTAGCTATCAGAATGATAAAATTAAATTAATAATAATAATTATATAAAAATAAAATAATTTAAAAGCACCAACTTGGAGAATATTTTCTTTTTAAGTTCATAATAGATTTTGCTTTGTTTAAAAGTTGATCTAATAATACTCCTTCGCCTTTTCTTGAACTCATACCATGTATTCTTCCAAATGGTACATGATGCACATTTAACTTAGAATTAATTTTTGTAATTAATGATTTTAATAAGTAAAAATGTTTGCTTTGAGTACTATCAACTACATAATATAGTTCTTCAGAACCATAATATTTGTGTCGTCTAAGTGCTGCAGCTATATCTCTTGTTAAGTATAATGTTGAGTTATCATTTTTCAAAATTGTAATTTCTTGATTATTTGAATTAATAACAGTTGATCCATCTGATTTAAATTCTAATAAACCAATTTTATGAAGTTTTTTTAGTACATTTTGAATTTTTTCAATAGAATATTCTGATTCCCAATCATATTCATCAAATTCTATTCCAAGTCGTTTATAAATGGTTTCTAATTCTTTAATTGTAATTGATCTAAATTCATTCCATAAGTGATTGATATTAGATGTAGATTTTCCACATTCTAAATCATTAAATAAAGATTTAGCTTTTTCATGAATACTAGGATCCTGAATAGCCATTTGATTGGCTAAAATATATGCTTTGTGTAAAGACTCTATAGTAAACTTTTTAGAGCCATCTAGTTTCATTTCATCTAATCCAAGTAGCGTATAACCAAACTGAGGTCCCCAGTCACCCAAATAATTAATACGAACAACATGCCCATCAATGAAATCTGTTAGGTTAGAAATAAAGTTTCCAATTATAGTTGAACGTAAATGACCAACATGAAATGGTTTAGCAATGTTTGGAGAGCTGTAAAATAACATACAATATAATTTAAAACTTAGAAATAATTAGTGAATTAATTTTAAAAAGTTAAGTAGCAAGTATACATGTATGAAACTTACCCATTACCTGAATTCAATTATACGAGGTTTAAAATTCTGCATGCAAGGTTGCGGAATTTGAATTTCATCATCTTTAAGCATGTCATTTATAAAATTGGATTTATTTAAATGTATAAGTACTATTTGTGGGTTCATTTCTGAAGTTGTCATATCTCGACTTGATATTATATTAGTTAATAGTGAGTGTTTAGTATTACTTGAATGTTTTTGAAGAATACTAAGAGGAATATGGAAACCTATATTATCCATAGAATTCCCTTTGCCTACTTTAAGGTTTGCCATAAGATCATTTATAACATCAGGTGAATTTTTATGAATGGTGCAAGCAATCTGCAAATTTGCATAAATAAAAATTAATATTTTGATGTGACAAAATGTTAAGTTAACTCTATTCAATTCATTATACATTTTACTATATGTTTAAATTTGTTTTGATTCTACTATAAAGGTAATTACAAGATCATATATCTATTTATTGATGAATTTTAGAATTATTAACTTAAAATAGCTGTTTATGAAATAAAATAAAGTGTAATTAAATATGTCTCGAAAGTTTAATTTTGAATAAATACAATTTTCATAAAAAAAATTTACTTTATTTTAATTTAATAACTACAATAAATTGGACTAATTAAACATTAAACGTTACATCATTTAAATATTAGGTATTAGCATTAGTTTTTAATGTATACTGTAATGAAGACAAATTATAAAAAAATTGAATAAAAACCGTTTTTCATAATCTATTTTACATTACATACTACACCGTGGTTACATATGTAATATTTAGTAACGTATATTAAAACGTTGTAAATGTATTGAAGAAAAATAATGATGTTTTTAAAAACATTTTTACTATATATAATATTTTTACCTTTTCTGCTATACATTTTTTGTACAGTCGATAATTTGATGTCATCCAAAGAGCGGTTTTAACCATAATTTTACTATCTACTATTTAGCTTGATAGTAAAAAGCAATATTTCTCTTAATATTGTATAACTATTAAAATAATTATCTTTTATGGATTAAATATTTGAATTTAGCACATTATTATGATGGTTACGTTAGAAATAATCCAATAGCAATAGATAAAAAGCCCAGTGTCTCCCAAGCACTTTTAAATGTAGAAATTTCTTAGCACCATAATTTGTCAATTTCATACAATAATTGCTATTGTAACAGTGGAGCCACAATAACACGTATAAGAACAAAAACTTTAATAACCGGATATTCTTACTCTATGCCAGATACCAATAACGATAAAAAATAAAATAAAAATCAGTCAAAATAGGGGGATAAGTCCAATAAATATGTCAGTTTTACTGTAAAATCAATATGATGTTTTATACTGTGTGAAAATATCTAAGGGAACACTGCCTGATTTCGAAATAAAAATCTTAAAAGTTAGCACCGCGCGAGCGTATGCGACAATACGGACTGCCGTAAAAACGAACATTTTCGAAACACGTTTTGAACGTGTTCCGGGAGAGCGCGGACTATTAAAATAACATATCAACGGAAATGTAGGTGATGTTTTATTCTGTGTGAAAATATCTAAGGGAACACTGCCCGATTTCGAGATATAAATTGCCGTAAAAAAATGCTGCAAACAATATATTTCTTGGAAACAAATATAGCATTGCAAATGGTCGGTTTTTAAGGGATTCAGTTTAGGCAATTATTTTTTAAGGCGTGCGTGCATACCATAGAGTATACTCTATGGTGAATACCTTCAAAGCAGAGTTTGCACTAACGTGCAGTTCTAAATTAAAATGTGCAGTTCTTATTTAAATGTTGTGCAGTTCATGAAAAAAATAATATGATTTTAATTTTTAATAATTAATTCTATACGTTTATGAGTTTGTAATATAGGTACCATTTGACATTATTTTTTTTTTTCTGGAATTATTAGAAATTATAATTAAAACATTGAAAATAAATATTTATCTATGAATATCAAGAAATTAAAACTGCGGTATTAAGCGAACCTCACACGAACAGTATTACTGTCAGTAAAAATATTGACAGTATTTCGATATCCGATTTTTTCATCATTCATCAGTAGGGTCCGGATTTTTATGCATTTACATATTTGTAATGAGTGTATGCAGTTCAACGGGAGTAAGAAATGTGAACGATTTGTGTAGCAGAGAATCTATAGAAAAAAGTTTATTTTGCATATAAATGCATATTTTAAGGTTGAGAGCATATTTGAAGAATTCGGCATAATAAAGCATATTTTGATACATAATAGTTATTTTATTTATATTTCACTATAGAAACTAGATTTATGAGTTTATGAAGTATTGTGGGGAAATATTTAATTTGTATTAAAACCATATCTTGCTTATCGAAACACATCGACCGACAACAATGAAGACCAGTTATATATAAATTTCCTTCATACAATTATATTTTTAGCATGATTATTATTATTATTATCGTGATTTTAAGTCTTATATTGGATAAACACGCTGCATCGTGGCTCTTGTTGTTTTACATTTAGTTGGTATTTAATCGTCGCGCGTCGTGCTGTAATCGCCAGTCGGTAATCGCCTATAAATATAATTTCGTAATCCGCATTCCGTATACAAGCAAATTTCTTTAATAATTTTTTTTACACTCGTAAATTTTAAAATGCCGAAAAGTCGTAGTAATATTCAAATTTTAATAAAACAATGGATTGCATTGTATAATAAAACAGACCACACAATTTTTACTACGGATGGTTCTGTAGTGTTTTGTCAATTGTGTGACAAAAAAATCGTTTGCACCAAAAAATTTCAAATACAACAACACGTTGATACTGCTTTGCATAAAAGTGCTTTAAATCGTAAAGCAAATGATAACAAAAAACAATTATTTGTATTGGACGCAAAACCTAAATCTGGTAACATTTTTAACGAGGATCTTTGTTCAGCTTTGATAGTCGCTAATATACCATGGAATAAACTTCAAATTCCCGAATTCAAGAATTTTTTGGAAAAGTACACAGGTAAGCATATTCCCGATGAAAGTACACTTAGAAAAAATTATCTTGGTCCATGTTACAATAATGTTATAAATGCAATCCGAGAAATTATTGGAAATTCAGATATTTGGATTGCTGTTGACGAAACAACTGATACAAACGGCCGATATATAGCAAATTATTAAGTTGGCGTTTTAGAATGTGATACAACAAGTCAACCCTATCTATTAGCATGTAAAGAACTGCCAAAAACAAATCACTCTACCGTATCTCGTTTTATTAACGATAGTTTAAACATATTATGGCCCGCAGGGGGGAATTACGAAAACCTAAGATTGTTTTTATCAGATGCAGCGCCATATATGGTTAAAACTGGAGATGCATTAAAAGTGTTTTACCCAAATATCATCCATGTAACATGCGTAGCACATATGTTAAACAGAGTAGCAGAAAAGGTAAGAGAGTTATTCCCCGATGTAAATAAATTAATTAACAATGTAAAAAAATCTTTTTTAAAGTCACCTTCTCGTATTCAACTATATAAAGAAATGCTACCTGGTTTACCATTGCCCCCGGAACCAGTTATTACAAGATGGGGGACATGGATAGAGACAGTTATATTTAATGCAAATAACTATGAAGGTATTAAAAGTATAATAGAAAAACTAGATAATGATTCTTCAGCAAGTGTAGATAATTGTAAAAAAATGTTCAATTTGACTACAGTGAAAAATGATTTAACATTTATAAAAATTAACTTTTCTGGACTTATTCGGGCAATCACAAACTTAGAAGATACTAAATTGACATTACTACAATCGTTAGAGATTACGAAAAATATAATTTCCGAACTATCAAATATACAAGGTGACAAAGGTTCTATCATAAAAAATAAAATATCTCAGTTATATCAAAAAAATAAAGGATTTCAAGTACTAGAACAAATCGGACTAGTTATATCAGGTAACAATGAAATACAGATTCCAGAAAATTTCAATCCTTGCTCTGTGGCAAATATGAAATATGCACCGTTGACGTCAGTAGATATGGAAAGATCCTTCAGTCTATATAAACATATATTAAGTGATAGAAGAATAAATATGACACCTGAACATATGGATGAGTTAACTCTTTTTATAAAAAGTAAATATCGATTTATATCTATTAGGTAATTAAAATGTTTTTATTTGTTTAAATTGTTTTTTTTATATATATAAATTGTCTTCATTGGTATAAAAGAATTAAATACATTTTTTTTATTATTATTTTTAACTAAAGTGCACTTTATTAATTTAATGTAATTTTTAAACATTTTTTGTCTTTAATTAATGTTGTAAGTTGATGTCGCAGTGCCGGTAATAAAAAAATTAAGTTTGTTTGATTATGTTGTATTAATTATTATTTATTAATATATAAAGAAAAAATTAAAAAAAAAATTATAAATGCATATATTTTGGGTAAGAGCATATTTTTGCATATTTTTTAAAAAATATAAGAGCATATCTAGTGCATATTTAAAGGTTTTTTGATGCATAAATGCATACTATTTTAAGGTGTTTAAGTGCATACAAATCCGGACCCTATTCATCAGTATTGTTTTTTCATACTGACAATGCATCAGTACTTACCTCACACGATCAATAATACTGTCAGTATTACTGATCGTGTGAGGCCTGCTTTAGTAATTTATTAAAGTCTCCATTGTGTTCCGCTATGAATGTTTCAACTGAAAATTTGTACTTACAATAGCGCCCATATTGGGAGGGGAAGCAAGGGAGGGACATGTCCACCCCTGGAAAGTGTCAAAAATCTTGGAAAATTGTTTACTATGATCGGAATATATTTATTTAAATAGAATTTAAAAATTTAATTTAATATATGAAAATCTATAAATTGTTTAAGAAAAATCTATTTATTTCGTTTGGAAAATCAGGTTATCAGCTATAAATAACTATACGCCTTTTCGTTTCTATTCTAAAGATAATTATCAATTCTTAAAATACTGTGTATTTCCAGAAATGCGGTATATCAATGTGTATGTGTACACCACCATAATATTTATATAATAGTTTAATAAATATAACTAATGTTTTTAGTGTCCAATTTATATTATTAATTAAATAAAAATTTGAATAAATTACTTTTATGGTAAATTGGTTAAATAATTATTATTTTATAGTCTTCTAGTTTAATAAATATAATGTAATATTATAATGTAAAATTTAAGCCCCTTCATATATCGTTGGTCATTCCTATTTATGAATAGATTGATAAATAATAATGTTGCCCCCTCCTTGAGAATTTTCCTATGGCGCCCTTGTATACTTATACATTAATTACAACATGCCTCCCTTGTATGATTGGGATTCTAATATATTAATTGTCAAATGGATGAACAGCAAAAAACATAGAGTAATTACAAGAACAAAGGCTAAGCAACAAAATTATTTCAATGGTATTTCCAGATGCTACAAACATCACCAATTTGAATATAGTGATACTGATGATGAAGAGGTTGTCACAAAAAATAAAAATAAATCATTTTAGAATTAGATTAAAGGAATTTATTATTTCAATTATTAAAATCTATGTACATTATGGCATATAATATAATATTATTTAATATTGATGTTAGTATGTATTATTTTTTTTTATATGCGAACGAAGCGATGGTCAAACTTTTTTCACTTCTGTAAAACAAACAGGATGTGCAGCTCTAATACCTGATTTTCCAAACTAAATAAATATATTTTTCATAAGCAAATTATAGATTTTCATATATTAAATTAAATTTTTAAATTCTATTTAAATATATTCTGATCATATTAAACAATTTTCCAAGATTTTTAACATTTTCCAGGGGGGACGTATCCCTTCCATGCCCCCCCCCCATATGGGCGCTCTTGCCGATTTGTATTAAATCAATTAATAATAATAATAATACATTATTCATAATTACTATAGAGTTGTGTCATTTTTAATGGGCAACGAAGTGCACGAGATCAGGAAGTAATCTATATTTTTGAATCTTAAAAAACATGAAATTAAAGATTTTTGAAAGATCATTATTGATCTTTGTATTTTTAAAAACAAAGCATCTTCAGTATCGATATTTTGATAGAATAAAAATTGTGTCTTCTGGAAATTACTACAAAAATCAGTTTTAACTCAGTGAAAAAAGTTTGTTTTGTTACTAATTACTTG